GTTCTCTCCAGATTAATAATGAAGATCCATCACCTGTTCCTTTTGTAGATGGACTGTTCCATTTGGAAGTCAAGGTAGTGTCACCTGAGTGGGTTCCTGCTGCAAGGAACTTGAGGACATCCTCCTCCTTCATTTGTAGGACATCAAGGGCTCCGGTCATTGTGGAAAGTTTCCCTTTAAGTTACGTGGGAACCGAGAACAACACCGTATGGAGCCCTCCCTGGGTAGCACGGAAAGCTCCCTCCCAATTCTTAACCTTCACTCAGGGATGTTGGACAAGCCTGTTCTGGGTCTCCACCCCTCCTACCAGTCTCACTGGCTTTTCTTTATAGCCTTCATTATAGGACTTCTGATCAGCTAGTCTTCAGATGGTTTTCGGTGATGGTTGTTCTATAATTTAGTTGTAGTTTTGATGTGGCCATGGAGGAGGCAAGCACAGTCAGTATCTACACCTACTTTTTCTTCTTGATGGAAAGTCTTCCTATCATAGTATTTTTTTAATGATAGAAAATGAAAAATAATAGTATAGAATTATGATGATTTAAATGTGTGTTTTTCTTTTAAGAAAGAAAAACGCCACCCTGGCCAGAATGGCTCTGTGGTTAAAGCATCAGCCAGCAGACTTAAAGGTCACGGGTTCGATTCTGTTCAAGGGCACATACCTCAATTGCAGGCTTGATCTCTGGCCCCAGTTGGGGCATGTGCGGGAAGCAACCAATTGATGTGTGTCTCTCACATCGATGTTTTTCTCTCTGTCTCTGCCCCTCCCTTACACTCTCTCTAGGGATCAATGAAAAACATATCCTTGGGTGAGGCTTAACCAAAAAGAAAGAAAGAAAGAAAGATGACTCTAGATCAGTGGTTCTCATCCTTCCTAATGCCGGGACCCTTTAATATAGTTCCTCATGTTGTGGTGACCCCCAATTTCATTGTTACAAATTGAATATAATTAAAGCATAGTGATTAATCACAAATATATGTGTTTTCCAATGGTCTTAGGTGACCCCTGTGAAAGGCTCGTTCAACCCCCAAAGGGGTCGAGACCCACAGGTTGAGAACCGCTGCTCTAGATTAATCTAATCATTAAAGATAAATAAATCAACAAACAAACTAATACTTTTCAGCAAAGTTATTTCTCTCTGTGTATGGATTTTAAAGGCATATTGAGGGAGGAGAGAGTGTGGTATCAACTTGTAGCCATTTCAGGTCGTTGAGTAAACTGCATGAAAATTGTATTAATTCACTCTGGACTAACAAAGGCATTTGTTTTGTTGCATGGCCTGGTTTGCGGTGGAAATCACATCAGAGAGTAAGTTCCAATTCTTTTTCCCTAATTTTCTTTAATACATGTGTCTTCTGTGGTATGATCAGTTGTTAACAGTGTTAACCTAGCTTGTAAGAGATTGGGCCAAGCCAATATAGGCATTTTTAATGGTTTGGGGACTTTGGAGGGAATTTTGAATTAAATATGTGAAATGTTCTGTTTTTATTTGTGTCTAGGTTTTCAGTATGTTTTTGGAGACTCTTGTTGATTTTATAATAATTCATAAGGATGATTTGCAAGACTGGCTTTTTGTTCTTCTCACACAATTACTTAAGAAAATGGGGGCAGATTTACTTGGATCTGTGCAAGCGAAAGTTCAGAAAGCTCTAGATGTCACAAGGTAAGTGTTTTGGAAGTAGACCATTTCCCCCGGCTTGTGAGATGTAGTTGCATAGAACATTGTGTAAGTTTAAAGTGTACAGTGTGATGATTTTGTTTCATGTATATATTATCACATAATTATCATCTTTTTGTTGTGGTGTTGGTGAGAACATCCCAGCTCTATTGTCTTTAGGACCTTCCAGGTGTATAATACAGTATTGTTAACTATAAGTACCACACTGTATGTTAGATCCCAGAACTTGCTCATGTTATAACTGAAAGTTTGTACCCTTTGACCAACATCTCATTTCCTCCTCCTCCTAACCACTGACAACCACCATTCGACTCTCTGTTTCTATGGGTTTGGCTTGTTCTTTTTTAAGATTCCACATATAGGCCAGAATTAGGGAACATCCCTATACATCAGTTTAGCAATGGATTGATAAAGCATTGACTACAAGTGCTAGGCTGATCCAGGTGATAAAAGTGAGTGAAGTAGGTAAGAGGGGAGGATTATGGATAATGTGGAGAAGTGTGATCAGTGGTGGCCGTGTTGGAACCTGGGCCCAGTGGTTCCAGACTTTTCAGGGAAGGTCAGAAATATGGATTAATGCAACGTATTCAAGAATTTTTTTTTTTTATGAAAAAGAAAAGGGATGCAGGTTCAAAACTACAAAAATTACAGGATAGATGTGAAATTTAAATGAAATGCTACAAGAAAAATGTAAAGTGTATGGCACATACTAGGTATTGTGAAAGCCAAGTAAAACATTGTGAGCCCGACTTGGCCTATAGGTCACTTGCTAAATTTAAGGAAATTTATGAATGACAAGATTTGTTTCAGATTTTTAGGGGATGGCAGGAATATTACGATCATATTCCCATCCTTTGGTGATTAAGAAAAACAATTATTCCCTTCTGTTAACTTTTTTGGATGCCTCTTTCCTTTAAGAATCCTGTTCTCCTTATATTTGGTCTCGGTCTCTAAAGCATGTTTATCATTCCTGTCTCAGCAGCTGAGTTGTATAGCTGCTTAAGGTTATCTGGGATCAGTGCGTATCCAGGGGCTCAGTGTTGGCTGAGAGCTCTTCCTCGGGTAATAGACCTGATTGCAAATCTGCCTCAGCTTCCTGTCCTTCGGCTGTGCCTACAGGGCACATTTCCCGGTGAAACACATCAGTTATTTGCTACAGAAGAAAGGAGAGACATTTTGTGTGTGGTTTGTTGACCTTGTTTCTTTAATTTACAGCCATGTGAGTCACTTAAATCATGTATTCTAACGTGTACTTTGCTCCCAGAAGTGGTCCTCACAGCTTCCTGGATGCAGATAGATATGGTAGAAAAGGATGTGCTGTTGGGTCAAGTTTACTTCTTATTAATAATTATAATGCTACCAACACGAGTACCTAGTATGTGCCACGCACTTTACATTTTTCTTGTATTATTTCATTTAAATGTCACATCTGTCCTGTGATTTTCATGGTTTTGAACCTGCATCCCTTTTTTTTTTTTACTACTATTACTGTAGATTGAGAAAAGTCTCTAAGAGAGTCCCAGGACAGCGGTGCAATTGCTCAGCCTCAATTGTAATAGATGTTTGCATTGCAGTATCTTTCCTGTTAGTCCACATGGGCTCCATTATGCAGTTTTACACTGAGACTAGTAATGGCAGCATTTTAAGGGGGATAGAGCACTGACTTTTCACTAGGCGAGAGCCCTCAGTGTCGCTCAGTTGGACTAAAGGTGTGAGATGACTAAAGGAAAGGGATTGGCACCAAGTAAGAAATGGAGCAGGAGAGGCCTGAAGGGGCCCCGGTTTCTATATATGTTCTGTAGTTGCATGTGGGGGTTTTTGCTGAGTGCCCCACAGGCGCTGTTCTCGTGATTATGCCAAGTAGCGATTATAAGCCCTCACCAGAAGGAGGACAGTGCAGTTAGCTTAAGCGAGGTCAGCTATAAGCTGCCTAATCAGGGAGTAAAACTAAGATTTGGAAATAGGCAGTATTTTCTGATAAGCATTATTTAGAAAGCTGGAGAGAAGTTGAGCAGACCCCTAGAAGGCAAGTATGAATCTTTTCCTTATTGCTTCATATTTATTTTTGAACTAGCATACTCAAAGTAAGTTTAGTATGTGTTTTGAGATGTTTAACAAGACTTCCTTTTTAAAAATGTTTTCTGTAATCCGTATTACTTTAGTATTTAATATAAAATGAAAAGTACTGTTTAAAAAATGTGAACAGGCTTGCATTTACATATGTTAATCTATAACAGTTTATTTTTTGTTTTTATATGGTTTTACATTATTTTTTGTTACAAATTTTTCTTAAAGAACAAGCACTTTTTTCTTTTTACCCAGGGACTCCTTTCCATTTGATCAACAATTTAACATTTTGATGAGATTTATTGTGGATCAAACTCAGACTCCTAACCTCAAGGTTGGTAATGATTTGTCCTTACAATTCAACCGCTAGATGTGGCATCGGTTCCCTTGTATTTGCCGGTTCCGCATACGCCTGCTGGGGGCATTCTTGTCCACCTCTTTGTGGACTTGCTTTCATTTCTTCTGGTTCAGTACTCAATAGAGAAATTGCTGATTTATTGGGTAGGCATATGTTTAACTTTATTTTAAACTGTTCAGATGGTTGTATTATATTCCTACCAGCAATTTTATGAGAGTTCTAGTTGTTCCACATCCCTGCCAACATTTGGGTATTATTACTCTGTCACAATATTTAAACTAGAAAATTCTGATTTGTTGAGATACATGTATCTTATTGGAATTTTAAAAAATATTTACATTCTAACATATGACGATTAACTTGTTACATGTTGTTGTAAAATCATACCTGTAATAACAAGACTAAATTGGAGGCAAGATATGTGTTCATGTGAGTTAAGTCATGTACATCACCTGTTCTTTGATCATTGGGGTTTAGGACAGGCCCTGTCAATAGCAGCCCTTTTCTCCTGAGGTCAGAACCAATTGGGACATCAGTGGAGAGGTTAGGGCGGAGTATCAGCTTGGTTACTGAACATGCTGCCTTGCAACACATGGCCTAGACCAGTGATGGCAAACCTATGACACACGTGTCAGAGGTGACATGCGAACTCATTTTTTTGGTTGATTTTTCTTTGTTAAATGGCATTTAAATATATAAAATAAATATCAAAAATATAAATCTTTGTTTTACTATGGTTGCAAATATCAAAAAATTTCTATATGTGACACGACACCAGAGCTAAGTTAGGGTTCTTCAAAATGCTGACACGCCGAGCTCAAAAGGTTCGCCATCACTGGCCTAGGCTGTCTAAAAAGCAAAACTAGCTGCAGCCTTGTACTTGCCATCCCAGCCCCTGGCAGAGCTCAAAATCCCTCGGCCTCCCCACAAGGGCTCCGCCCTCTGCGTGTCCCAGCGAGGCGAGGAGCGGGGCACGCCTTCCCTGCCGGCTCTGGAACCGAGGAGCATCAGGCTGCATGCACTCCTGTGCCACACTCACTCTCAGTCATCCCACACCTCCTGTCCTGATGGATGCTGGCTCCATGTGGAACCACAGACCCAGCAGAAAGGTGGTGTCGCTTCAGTAGGGTTTACTTTTCTCTGATGACCAGTTAAGAATTCTACTCGAAGACTCACAAAGTGTACTTAATGTTCGTAATGATTGGATCTTTCAGGTCAAAGTTGCAATCCTGAAGTACATTGAGTCTCTCGCCAGACAGATGGATCCAATTGACTTTATAAACTCTAGTGAGACCAGGCTTGCTGTTTCTAGAATTATAACCTGGACAACAGAACCAAAGAGTTCCGACGTGAGAAAGGTACGTCCACGGCGCTGCAGCGCAGCCTTATGACAGGCTGTGCTACCGTCAGAGGAAGGGCCTTATCCTGAGACTGCAGACCGCCCCCCCACCCCCGCCAGACAGGCAGACACTGGCACGCCTCTGGGAAAGCCGAGAATTGTCTCCTGCCCCTTCTCTCCTCTCTCAGCTCTCCCTCGCTCCAGTTTGTGAATGTTGAAGATCCCACATCTTGTATGAGGGGCTCATGGTTGTCTTAGGCGTCTATTTATCTTTTTAATGTGAAAGCAGGTTAGTGTCTCTTACAAGGAATTGATTTCCCTTAAGTTAGTTTTATGTCATGTACTTTGAAGATAGACTTAGGTCTAAGGCAGGGGTGGGCAACCTTTTTGTGAGTGCGTGCCAAAACCAGCAAAATCTCTGACTCAGAATTCTTCTGCGTGCCAACCCTAATTTTTTGAGAACATGTTACACCTACTTGATATCTCTTAAGGTGTACGTATGTGAAGAACCTTGAAGAAATAATAAAATTCATTCGAGCGACAAAAACACAGTATATGATGATGAAAAATACATTTATTTTTTAATGTATACATGTACACTGATAGTCCGACAGAAAACTTTATGACTCCGTTTGATATTATCAGTGGGACTTTTGCTGCTGCATCACTGATGACAGAGATTTTACATCAGGTTTATATTTCGTGACCTTCAGAGATATGCACGAGCTACTACTTTCATCCGTCAGGCTACTCCTATTACGAGACTTAACAAAATTCATCACTGAGAACAAAGATTCACAAGCGTATGTGGATGAAAACATGGAGAGTAA